ATTATAAAAACTGTAATAATTAAAGTTATTCTTCATGATAAATTTTATAATATTCTATTATGATTAATATTATTAAAGTAAATGTTAATAAGTTGGTCAAAGGTCAATGACAAAATTTTTTAATTTATAATTTTTTTAAAAATTACAAATTTTTAGCTTATAAGTAACCTTAAATTATAGAGAATTTATAGTAAATAAGCAGGCAAATTTGCCTGCGAACCTCTACAGTTTAAGGGATAGTAAATAAGCAGGCAAATTTGCCTGCAATCCTCTACAGTTTAAGGGATAAACATATTATCAATAGACTACCCAAAAGTCTTGTCAAGAGAGCTTACCAGAGACTCTTGCATCATTCTAAAGTCCTATCCCATTAAAATCTATTTCTGAAAAGTCTGAACGAATTGAATCTTATTTGAGGTATACATTAGAGGTTTATAGTCAGAATGGAACATTTTATTAGGTATAATTTTGCGCAAAAAAAGTTTGCGTGCAAGAAATTCACCCATAGTAATACTATTGTTGCATTAAAAGGCTTTATTTTACTAATGAATTTACGCGGCTAGAAAAAAAATCATGTGACCGCGTGAAAAAAATTCACGCACAACTTTTTTAATCAAACGCGTCTTTTATCTAATATACTATTCACTTGGATAAGCCGATCACTAACTTCTTAACTTCTCAAAAATGATTTTAACACCTCAGTGCCTTAACGCTATGAATTACCGCGGTAAGGAAAATGGTTTTCTTATAGTAATGCCTCATGGCTATTCCGTGCTAATCTGCAATTTATATTTATAGATTTCTGGGAAAGAACTGAAGAGCCTTCGCTCAAAAAATTCTTGGATTTTCGACTTCGTTCCGGCTATTTGAGTGATATGAAAACGGAACACAATCGTTATTATAACGAATTAAAAACTCTTAGTGCACACTACGCTAAAGTATCTGAAGTAGGAGAGAAAGTACAAAAGTGGATATCGGCTTTCAAGGCAAGATTAAATTTTATATTAAATTATTCGCTTCTAAGGCCCATTCGACTCTCTTGCCTGACCAACTACCTTACTAACTGCTTGTTGGTAATGGGAAAGACTGCTCGTTCGTTGGTTTGCACATCTTCCAATGATGTGTCGTGCATGTAGTTTAATGGACTTACTTTATGATCTATGTGTTCATAAAGGAAAAAAACTGCTTGTTCGTCCGGAATGGTCCTCGTGGACTACTTTGCGATCTGCTTGTTCGTAAGGGAAAGACTGCTTGTTCGTCCGCAGTTTTTTCCATTTCTACTTTACATAGACGAAGAAGAAATCTCATCTATTTTTTTATATGATAGAATGCTAAAAGGACAAAGCAAAATAAAGATTTCTGGAAGATGCATGAACAGAGTGAAAACATCAATGCAAAGGGCAAGTTGCTTGAGGAGAAATCTAAATTAGATATCATACAGGCTCAGGCAGAAATGACAAAGTCTCAGGTAGATCTGATGATATGTTGCTTAGTAAATCGTCCCATTTCCGTTTCCTTATAACTTATATTCAAATTAGATGGATGGGATTGTACACACAGCAAAGCAATTAAATAAAGGTGCTCTTTTAAACATGAAGCAAGTTGTTTCTACCATTGCATATGCGAAATATGAAACTAGGAACAAACGGGCATTTGATGATAATCAAGCACAGCTACCATCAAAGGTAAGGATATAATAACCATTCAAATAAACTTATTCATCACTTTTCGTATTCTTGAATTTTACCAGTTTTTGCGCAATTCTCCCGACATTGATGTTGATGAGGAGTACAGTAAAGATGAAGAGCATGAATATTTAAGGACTCAAACTATTCAAGAGGTATCTGTTGTTTCTAGTACTATTTTATTTTTCTTGATGATTTAATGCTTATTCTTACAGCCCACACAGACAACCACAAACGGATTACGTGAGATTATAAATAAAATTGAGAATTCCACACATCGGTTATTTGAATATCGAATAATCGATCTTTCTAACCGAAACGTTGCAAATCCAGTGAATAAAATATTCACAACTCTTGAAAAAGAATCACTAAAGGGTTTCTGGGATACTGTATGTATATTTCCTACAAGTTTCATGAAAATCCAGGATACTATATTAATCTTACTACTTTTTAGTCCGAGAAATCGTGTCAATTTAATACACGTGACCTTAAATGGGAAGAGGTTATAAAACCTCTTTTGATCACTTATAGTAAAGCCTTTATTGAGCCAAAATCGATGTTTGATGACGCTCTACTGGATTTTGACGTTGTTATGGAGAAGCCATACAATGGTCTCTTCGACTATAAACAGCATTACATTCTTTTATGGGTACAAAAGCTGTATAAACTATTGTATGTATCTACTGTTTTTCTTTACCCAACTAGTTTAATCAGTATCTAATTTTATTTCAGTACACTTAATTTCAAGGCACCATTAAATAAACTCACGGATCCCAAGCAGTCAGAATTCTCTTATCGTGAAGATTTTATTTCCCCGATCTTAGCACGAGCATTTGAAGATTTGGAGGTCATCCAATTCAGAACGTGGGTTCCAACAAACCTTAAAATGCTGGTTTTTTTTATTTACTCTAAGAAATTAATGACTACTTATCCTTAGTGGCGAGATTGAGAATATGTTAACAAAGACGCAGAGGAACGTAACTGAACAGCAAAAACATCGTATCCGTCTCGGTTGTAACCAAGACGGTATTATTGAAATCAGTTTAAACGCAATGAACTTTGAGATAGGTTTTATGGAAGTTGTTGGTAGCGCGATTGAAGTTGATTTAAAAAAAACTAGGAGAAGATACCGAAAAAGTCTTTAAAGGTCAGTGGAGATCTTCATTCATATTGAGGTGATTGGATTTTCCATACGTAAATTTATTCTATAGCAATTATAGCGATGCAAATCTCCATGTTCTACCAGAGACAACATTTTCTTCAACGTGGAGCCACTGAAGACAAAATCAAATGCATAGAAAGTTATGGAATTGTAGTATATCGTAAGTGATACTAATCAGATGATTAAATGTGATTTTATAATCTCACGCCTTTACTTTTATTATTTTAGAGCGTGAAATTACCATCTATACGATGCACCATGTGCCAGAAGGAATATACGTTGTTGATATACTTACGAGATTTTCTATCCCTGAGATCAAAAGTCATTTCTACATGATTAAAGAACTGATCGAAAAGATTTATTTTTTCAAGGTACGGATTTGCCAATTTCTTAATGTGCTTTCTAATCTGCAAGATTTTTAAGATCTGAAAAGATCCGTATTATGGAATACTATACAAAATTGCGGGCGATTATACAGAGTCCGAGTCGAACATATATTCAAACAAGTGAATTACCAACTCAAGGATCACCACCAATGAAATCAAATGGAGGAAGAAGATATAGTTTACATTAAATTTTTATTATCGGGAATTTGAAGAGTTTATTAGATGTAACAATATCGCTGTTAACATTACATTAATAAATATTAATAGTGTATTTTCGTGCTATATCTTTCAAATTGTCACATTAACTGAATTTCATATCTGACAAAGAAAAAAAAATTGATGCAAATGAACATAGCAAATCAAAAAATGCTAGAGAAGAGAATGAAATAAATGATGCTATCAAAGAGGGAGGGAGTTACGCGGATCCTAGGCCATTTAATGCGAGTCCCAGCATCAAGTTATTTCTTTGCTCCCAGATTTACAAAAAATATCTATAGCTAATAAAATTATTTCTTTATCTATACGCCTGCTAACTACAAGATTTCCAAAATAAATTATCCCACCCATATCTACGCCTATCTATATCACTACCACCCGCACAGATTATGTTAAATAATATTCCCTGAAAGAAAACTTCATTGAGACCAATCTGCCTTATATTCATGAAAGTTGTTGCTTGATGTGTGTTAAGATATTTCAATTCTTTTATCGCAAGTAAGATTCTGCGAAAATATCACGCGCCAAATTACTGCCTGGTCATATAAGATTTGGCAGGGCAACGGCTGAAATTACAGTCATGTGATTTTTTCTCTGTATTTCACTGCGCCTATTATACGCGTGATGATAGTTAAAGATTTTCTTGGCGAAGATCAAAATGACGATATATAACAAGAAGAGTAATATGTCCATTTTATTTTGGAACATCTATAGAGGCAGGAAGATTGATTAACATCGGGATGACATGTTTTAAGAAGCCAACCTGAAGTATAAATCAATCTACTTTATTATTATTTTGTGGATATACTCGTTTGTTTGATTGTTGATACTGGTGATGCGTAATAACGGAAAGTTTTAAATTTTATTAGAATTTTCGTTTGATTTTTCCTTGATTCCTGCTTATGTTCGCATAAGACAGATAAAAGATTTACTAACTAGGACATCACCTTTTTATACAATTTGCAGGATCGATCTTGGAATACACTTGGGAGAAAATTACGTATCGCAAAAATCTAATCAACGGCTTCTCCTTAATTTAACAATAAAGAATTTAACGCTATCTATAATCGCATATGTAAAGATCAAAGGCTGTACATAATTTTGAGAATGTGCGAGAAAGTTTGAGAATAAATTATTTTGTGCAATTACTTGTTCCTGTGATACATATAATAATTACTATAATATTACTGCGTATTTATTTATCAAGCAACAATAAACTTGATCGAAAAAATAATAGTACACTCTTTACTTTATACAATCCTGTCACTCATTATTACTAACCTAATTCTTATATTCTTCATTCAAGAAAGCATCTATCTCTCTATCCTCTAATGGAGCTTTCTCAGAAGAAATATCTTCAATAGAATACATATCCTACAAATTAGTAATATCTTGAGTTTGCTATTTGATTTTAGAGATAGATATTAAATCATTCTCAATGAAACTAGTTTCAAGAGGTATGTCATTTTGTGAGTTACTATGTAAAGTACTATTTTCTGAATAAGAAATAGATTCTAAGACTTTTTATTCTTTTATAATAGATGCTTCAATCATATCAGAATTATGATTCAAGGATTTAGTATCCTGTAAAGTTTTTATCTGAGAAACAACATTTCTTTCTTCAGTTTTAGTAATAGGATATTCTAAACAAATACTATGAACCATGCGTCTATCTGTAGGAATAGTAATATTTTTTTATTGCGAATTTGTGAAAATAGGGTCGTGACATTCTGATATAAGAGTAATTCACAAATTCTTTCAGCTAAAATTTTTTACACAAAAGTGTCTACATCTGGCTAGGATTCTCTAAAAGCATTTAAAATAATATATATAATATGATCCATTCCTTATATTAGTGATGAATTTATTATATTTATGTTATATTTAAGTAATAAAAAATCATGTAACTGCATGAAAAAATTTACGCTCTTTTACTGAGAAAAATTTTTATTATTATATGCAAAAAATAAATACAAAGGTCTGGGATTAAACCCACGATACATATTATTTTTTAATAATTTTTTTAATTCTAGTCTCTTGCTAACTGAGAAACTATCTATATTAACATGATCTTTTAATAACCCTATAAACCAATCACTTTTTCATGTTGCTACAAAGTAATTTGGGATTTCTTTAATGGCTAACTTTGTAAGATTAATCTGATATTTATTGCCACTTGTATAGTAAATACCATTCAGAGTATATATTATAAAATACTACTCTATACCCATAGTCACAATACCATAGATATAATCAAAATAGTCATTTTCAAATGCTTGATCCACAGTTTGTTTCTTTTTATTTATCTGAAATGTGTTTTCAAGTTATGCTAGATTCTAAAAGATAAAATACATCACCCTTTAGTCTTCTTATTTCAAAGCCAATAGACTGAAAAGATGAACAGTCTTACCTGAGTATATTCAATCTTAATATGATATGATTTTTCTTTAGTGATATAGAAGAAGTCTTCCAGATTTTTGATTGCATAGTCTACTCAGCCAGTAACATCTTCACTAGAAACGTCTTTTTGTAAAACTATGAATATATCTTGAGAGATGAGTTTTTTGGTGATAATAATTGACACATGTAATATAGCTGAAATAAATTCATAATGTGTTATCTTGTTAGTATCAGTTATGTTTTCACGTTTGAAAGTTTTAAGATAATGTCCTCTATATAATGTTTGAATGTCTTATCATCATCACTAATTTCCTCGAAGATTTAGAGAAAAAAATAAATTAATATAGCTATCTAGTCAGTTTCAAAAATTAATTATATACTGAAAGTAAACTGCTTGATATTTATTATATCTTCCTCATTGACCTTATTTCTATGTAACATTTCCTTCAGGTCATCAAGAGTTTTAAGTGAGAAATAGTTTCTTATTTTTTGACCAAGATCTTTAATGAATTTTATGAGAACTGTTGCTAAACCTAAAGTGAAACTAATATTGTAAAAGTTCTCTTTAATTAACTTGAGAAAGGCTAGACTAGTAATTTCTTCTTTATGTAAAATTTTAAAGTGAGTTTCCTTGAGCTTCAGGTTTTTCCTCCTCAAATATTCAATAAGCTCCTTTGTATTAAAATCCTTAATAACATCTAACATTATTCTAGTAGAAATTTCTTCTATTATTGAGGCAGGTGAAGTGAATGAAGAAGTTTGTGAAGACATAGTTTTTATATATGTATGTTTGTGCTTATGAAAAAATTTATGCACCCGATAGCAGTTACAGGCAGTGTTGGCACATGACATCATATGACTTATATGACTTACATGACTTGTCATAAGTCATTTATCATTTAAATAGA